TAAATGGTCACTTAGAAAGCCCGTTAAAGTAGAAAAAAAAAATCACCAAGGATGAAAGAGTTAAAAAAATAATAATAATAATAATAAATGTTTTGGAAAATATTCTAGATCAAGCAACTTGAAAATTATTTAAAACAAAGAGTTAGCATGTTACTTTCAAAACTTTTAAATTAAATTTCTAAGTTTGGCTTGGTTTTGTATTGCTACAATGAGAAGATTTTCTTAAAATTATACCTTAGAGTTATATATAAATGTTTTCTTGAGTGGTAACTGACTCCAATTAGATTATCTAAAAGTTATCAAGTGAATTTAGTTATTTACTGACTTCTTTAATTTGGCAAGTTGACCGAATTTTGTGGGTATATTCACTGCAAACCCTCACGAGACTACAACTCGTCCACTAGGGTAACCTAGGGGTTTAAAGGCTTGTTGTATACGCTAAATACAACCGCGATTCCTGCGAAAGTGAGTTAGGATTTTCTTTTTATTTTCTTTGCTAGAGGACTAGCAAAAGTTTAGGTGTGGGGGTATTTGATAATCACATTTTATTACAATTTTTATACCCTCATTATCTATTTTATATGAATAAATATACCACTAATAATTATTTTTATCTTTTAATTGCAGGTTAATGAAGAATAAATCTCAACTTCCCATCTCTCAACAAAAACCCATTGATTAAATGAAGAAATGAAGCAAAGAAGCACATTGGAAAATCAATTTCCAAATTATCCAAAAGCCCAGAATGAAGTCGTGTAGCATGTAGAAGCCGGAGAAAATCAAAAATCCAATATGAAAAGAAATCATATTCAAAATGGTTGGCCACAAAGAAACGACGATATCTCCTAATCCGGAAGGCGGAATTTAACATATAATATATGAAAATCGCCTATCTCGACGAGACGAAGCTATCCGTGAAATCAGAATTTGAAAAAGATGGAGAATTATTTGAAGGTTTGCATTTCTTTTCTTTTTCTCTTTTATTGCTTATTAGTGTAGATTTATTTTTATGCTTGTAGTTTAGATTTTATTTTCTTGTTAAATAGCCAAGAGGCTAGAACCCTCTTGCCTTAGATTTATTTCATGCTTATAGAATAGATTTATTTTTTTGCATTTAATTCTTGCAATTTTATTTTGTAGTTTAGATTTTGCAATTTATTTTGTAATTAGATTTTAATTTCTTATACTATTCACCTTGAGGCTAGAACCCTCTTGGGTTTAGTTTTTCTTTTTGTTTATTTTTCTTTTTGTTTGATTCGCCTTTAGGCTAGAACCCTCTAGGGAATCACCCTTTTCTAAGAAGTGGGTTCAATTTTAGATTACCCATATCTATAATTGAATCCACCATCTTTAATTTCTTACATTTTCTTTTATTCTTGAATTTTGTTCTTCATTCTTGAATTTTTTTTTTTACCTTATTGATCATACTCATTCTTTTTCAAATCCACTCTCACTTACACTTTGCATCTATTTACACACCATTTTCACTCTCTCAATCTCTTCACAATCACATTTACTTATCACTCCTATTTGTCACGCACACAAAATAAGAACCAATTTTATATTTTCTCCTACAAAACACCTTCCTTGTGGGATCGATATCTTAAATACTATAACTTGACACGGTTGTGCACTTGCAACCTTTTTGGTACATGTTTATGCCGCATCAGTTGGCAGCGGTGGCACTGGGGCGGGCTGAGGCAGAGGCGGCGCTGGGGTAGGCTGCGCTGGTAGGGCGGCGGTGAAATTTGAAGACGAGGGTTTTAATTCGAACGTGAGGTTAACAATTTTTATAAAAATTAATCTAGTGTTTTGTTAAATACATATAGTTGCGGTTAGAAGGTGATTTGGGTTTTGGGTTATTTATATTAATTTTGATTACTACTCCTATTATCATTAGGAGTTATGATTAATGAAGGTAATGGATCCTTTCGTCTTTAATGAGACCCAATAACGACGGTATTAGGATTAAATTAACGAAGGGACTAGAAAACCGTTACCCATCTCACATCATTCCTATAATATTTGCAATCACTCGACGAAGGCTTTAAAAACCCGTCGTTATTATATGCACATTAACGACGGTCAACTAATCCCTTTACTAATTTTGGTCGTTAAATACTGTATTTCTTGTAGTGGAAGAAAACCAAGCATTTATTTGGATTTGTATCAAGACCAGTGATTTCACCAAACTGTTTAACACATTGGTGCAATTTCTGAATTGAGTATAAATCCCCTTCCCAAATAACAAGAGATCATCAGCAAAGATAAGGTGAGTAAGCTTCAATTTTTTACACATAGGGTGAAATTTAAAAAACCTATCATGTTTAAGCATGTCCAAACTTCTCGATAGGTATTCCATACCTAAAATAAAAAGATAGGGGGAAAGAGGATCGCCTTGTCTCAAGCCTCTCTCACCACTAAAATAACCATGAAGAGATCCATAGAGAGAAATGGAATATTTAGGACTAGAAATACATGCCATAATCCTCTCAATCATGAAAACTGGAAATTTCAGACCCATCAGCATATCCTTCAAAATTTTCCAACTGATTGTGTCAAAAGCTTTTTTGATGTCAATGTTTAACATAACTCTGGGTGATATGTGTTTTCTTCCATAGCCTTTAACTAATTCATGTGCTAACAATATATTACTTGTAATTTGCCTTCCATGTATGAAAGCACTTTGAGCTTCTTTTACCAAACTACCCAAAACAGACTTGATTCTATTTGCCAAGATCTTGGAGATAATTTTATATAGGCAGTTGCAACAAGAGATGGGTCTTAAATCTACGGGAGTTTTTGGACATTTTACCTTAGGAGCAAGAGTAATTGAAGTTGAATTAACCACTCCCAACAGTTTGCCAGATCTGAAAAATTATTCAATTGCTAGAGTAACATCCTCTCCTATTATAGACCAAGCTGATTTGAAGAAGGAAGCGTTGTATCCATCAGGGCCAGGAGATTTATTTGAAGACATGGAGAAAATAGCTTCTCTGATTTCTTCTTTAGTAACAGGGCTAGAGAGCAAGTTTGCTTGAGAATCAGACAAACAAGAACCCGATTGAATAATATCCATGTCAGGGCTAATAGTAGCAGTTGCTTTTCCCATGAGGTTCTTGTAATAAAGAACAAATTCATTAGCAATTTCATCACCATCAATGATTTTATCGCCACCCTCATTGTAAAGCACCATCACCTTATTATGATGTCTATTACTTTTGATGATAGAGTAGAAAAAATTTGTGCACCTATCCCCTTTTATACTCTAGTCAATTCTGGCTTTTTGATGTAAGAAAGACATCTCACATTCAAGCAACCTATTGTAAGATGTTAAACAATCCCTTTCCTTGATGATTAAAGACTGCATAAATGGATTAAGCTGAAGGCATTGCTGAACTTCTTCCAACTTTTTCTTAGCTCTCAAGACCTGTTCACTGATGTTGTAGAAATGCCTATTGTTCATGTCTTTAAGAACACCTCTCAGATTCTTTAATTTTGTATAAATTGAATACATTTTAAACCCTAGAATATCAATTTGCCAAACTGAAGCCACAGCAGGGAGGAAACTGTCATGATAAGCCCACATATTGAAGAATTTAAAGGCTTTTTACCTTGAATTTCATCTTCAAGAATAGAAATCAAAGCAGGAGAATGATCAGATGGGTTAGGAGGAAGAAATTCAACCTGGCTTGAGTTGAAATTATGCAACCAAGTATCATTTACTAGAGCTCTGTCAAGTCTGCACCATATCTTAGAGATAGCATTTTGCTTATTATTCCAAGTGTAGAAACATCCAATAGATTTTAGGTGATTTAACAGACTGTCTTGAATAAAATCTCTGAAGTCCTTAAAATCAGTATCAGTAAGCAAAGAACCTCCCAGTTTCTCTTCATTGTCTATAACTGAATTAAAATCCCCACAAAGGAGTCAGGAATTATTACCAATTGAATTTTGAATGCTCTTCAATTCTTCCCACAGATCCCTTCTAGCTTCCATTTGGTTAAAACCATAAACTGCTGAGATAATACTATCAAAACACACATCATGAGATCTTGCCTTACAAGTGATTTGCTGAGCAGAAGAGTTCACAATATTAATGTCCAGAATATTTGGATCCCACAGGATCATGATTCCGATTTTCCCAGCATAACTAGTATTTGAGAAACAATTCCAGTTGCTTGCAATTTTCTTGACAACAATTGCCAACTTTCTATCACTAATTTTAGTTTCTAGTAAAGCAATAAAAGATAAGTGATATTGAGATATAAAATGCTTAACCATCTGCTGCTTAGAGGACTTATTTAGCCCTCTAACATTCTAAAAAGATAGATTCATATTTGGAAATAGCTCTCCCCCTATCAATTGTAGAGGGATCCAGATCCAAGTTATCTAGCTGAGAAAATTTATTGACATAAGTATCTGGATGTCTCAGATTCCTCTTTTGGATTTGAGTCCAAGGGCTTTTTGCTATAGAGGATCCAGAACTGAATTATGCACATCACCAGATTTTGCATACCTGAGAACTCCAGAGTTTTGAGCATGTTCTCCTTCTCTTCTAGTTTGTGTGAAAATATTGGGGCCATTATTCATATTCCTTTGCATAGACTGATTTTGACATATAACGTTTCCTGCATCATTTATCAAAGTCATAAGATGGGGAGAAATAGGCACTTTGTCCTGAGAAACCACATACTCAGTGTTCTGAGCATGCACATATTCTTTAGCAGCAGATTTTCCTTTATTTCCTTCCCTATCTGTCATTTGATTTAACTCGGTATGCTGATCATGCACAATATGTACAGGATCATTTGCAACAGCATTAATTTGAGCATCCTTATCACCATTTATAGATACTGAATGCTTAGGAATCCATTTTTGTACTCTGGTATGCTTCTTACAGTAATTTGTGTTATGACCTATGCACTTGCACAAATCACACCATCTAGGTTTGAATTCATAGATAACCCTCTGAATATAAGTTTTTTCATTAGGCCCTTTAATGGTGACTTGATCAGGAAGGGGAGAGGGCAGATTAACCTGCACCAAAATTCTAGCATATGCAAGTCTTTGCTTATTTGCAGTCAACTTATCTGTTGCAATTGGCCTTCCAACTGTGCTGGCTATTTTGCTAATGCACTTAGAATTCCATAGATTAAGTCTTAACTCTGGTAACTGAATCCATAATGGATAAATGCAATCATCAGATTTATTTATATCTTCACCTATAGACCAAGGTTTCAAGAGAATAGGTCTCGATCCAAAAAAACCAAGGACCCTTACTTAAAATATCATCCATTTCATCTTTTTCTTTAAATTTGAACAAAAATAATCATGTATTCAAAAGGCAAATTTTAGGAATATAATCCCAGACTTTGTGCACATAATTCTCCATCGTCTTGAATTTAACATTTAATCCCATTACCTGTCCTATTAGAGAGAATTCCCATATAGAAGCTCCATCATTACACTCATCTTCATCAAAAACAGCTGAATCATTAGCCACAGGAAGCACAAAATTCAGAATCATACCTTTTCCAGGTTTCCTATTATCAGAAAACAAACTAATCCAACTTTTGGTTGAGTTAATCTCTTTATCTAGATTTGCATTTTTTGTCTCAAGAGGAGGAAAATCGCTCACCAATAGGCTCAGCAGCACATCAGTAAGTAGTTCATTAGAACTCAAGGGTACCCAGTAATTTTTCCAGAATCTAGATTTAAATTTTCAGGAATAGAGCCAGCATCAGGTAAGGATCTTGAAGGCAAGCGAGTAGAAACAAAGGAAATGATCCCCAATTCGGACTCATCAACCTAAGAAACCCTAGGTGAGTTCGCCCTTCCATTACAAGAAGAATTAGACTTACAGAGAAGACGAGCTTGAATTCCCATCATTGGAGATGAACTAGTCCGATCAAGATTTGGATCCTCCAAAGAAGTCGAAGCTCTCAAAATCTCCTCCATGGATTTCACTTTCCTTCCTCCCTTTGGACCAGTTGATCCCATGATAGAGCTATCACCATCATCAAACTCAACTATAGAATCTCCAACTACAGAACTTGAACCAGATTGCTCATCAGCAACATCCAAACTTGAATTTGCAGCTCTCAATCCAAAACTCAGGATCTTTTTCTCTTTGTTCTTCTTCTTCCTCACCATCGAGATCACAGCGGGGGCGTATGATAGCAGGAAGAATCGCCTGCTATCGTGCGCCACATAACCGCCCAACTGTTAATCAAGCAAAAGTCATATTCTTCAAATTATTTTTGCTCCAACTCCAACAGCTTCCTTATTTTGAAGAATGCTGTATTTATTACAATAATAAAAATATTCCACACCCCTATTTTTTTTTGGTAAATGAACTGAATTTTATTCATTTCCAAATGTAACTTTTTGAAACATATCAAAAACCAGAAGTTATCTGGTAAACAAATAGAAAAAATTACAAAATCTCAATGAGATTTTTCATACGAACACATGTACTATCATGTATAAACTGAAATTTTGATATCACGGATAACCCGACTTGATCTCCTGGCTTTGCTCTGGAAGATTCTCAAGTTACGTTCTTGCCAAATCATATAGATTAAAGCCGCAAGCACCATCCTCTTTAATTTCTTAGTGCAACCCTTGTCTTTCAAGTTATTGGATTACCAACCAATGATTATATTCCAATCACAAGACCTTCATTTATACTTCAACCAATCCATTACCCCATTCCAAATTTCAGCAAAAAACTGGCAATCAAAAAACATATGCCTATTTGTTTCCAGTTGATGACTAGAACACATAACACAGCAGTTTTGATTTGAATTTAAAATCCCCATTTTGCACAACCTATCCATGGTAAGAAGTCTTAATTGGCAAGCTAACCAGACAGTAAAAGAGTGCTTAAGATAATTACACCCCTATTTTGGGATGCTCTTATGCATTGGAACTACCCCCATGGTTTTTTTTAATTACGGATTTTGTTTTGTATTTATTTTCTCTTCCATCCCGTTTTGAAGAATGTGCTGCATTTATGACAAAGCTCTCTGTAAAAATTTATAGAATGCTGCAGATTTGGGGAAGACTTACTTTTTTTCTCCTCCATCCCTATTTTGGGGAATGGGATGGGGAATTTGTTGGACCAAAAAAAAGCCCAGAATTCTCCAAAAGTGATAATACCAATAAAACTCAGCTGCTGAGTATTTTGTAAAGCGCTGAATTTTTTCAATTTGAAAATGAATAAAAATTTTCATTTACCAAAAAAAAAGAGAATACCAATAAAATAGGGAAGTTGTTGGAGATGCTCTTACAAACCAGTTAAATATTCGTTTTTGTATACAGTTAATTGGCTTCACTGGAAACTTGGTGTTTCAAGAGATCAGAGTCATTAGATAAATACAAAGTAGAGTGTTTAGTGATAAGTGTATTGTTCTAACTTTCTATTTACTGACAATTAAAGAATAGATTCAACCCGTTGTAAAATATTGATTAAGTTAAAAAAAAGAAACAGACCTCCTTAACTTTAGAGTCTTCCATGAAAAACCCCTTGAATTGGGGAAGAATATTTTTATATATATAATCTGGTCCCCGTAAACCTGTCTGGGGGCGCCTTCAAGTCAAGTATTGGCCTTCTGGCCCATGTATATAACACTCATAATATCATGATAACAGGAAAGCGATGTGCCCGTTTATATACATACTATATTCTCTGTCAAATTCTTCTTTATAACCCCATGTTGTCAAATTAATTAAGCAATTATACATGAAATATCATGTACTAGCCACAGAGTTACCGTGGAACGACTTCTGTAAAACTATGAAAACAACCGTGACTCATAACACGTCCGATCAAGAGTGCATCGTCTAGTTAATGCTATAATAGTAATAGTCAAGGAAACCTCATACCGGGATATCAATATTAAGGAAACTCGGGACTCCTCATATCGGGATATCGATGTCGAGTGAGTATAGCCATGCTTTGAAGCACGCTTATAAATCATACTTTTAACAGAAGTCGTCTTCATGTACAGTCTCTCCTATTGGATAACAACTAAGTGATAAAACAACAAGCTTCCACACAGTCATTCATGTCAAACAATCCCACATAGGTAATCACAATAAACATTACAGGTAATCATATTACAATATCGAATAAGTTAAATACTATGTGTATAAATAAGAGTGTCAAAATATCGGTATCATTATAATATGTGGCAAACACAGGTAACATTCGCATATTATAATATAATAAAAACTTTTAAAATTTCTATTATAATAAATCAAAATAATTCCTTTTAATTCTAAACTAATCTTTTAAAAATCATTAATTTATTATTTCAAAATAATCCTTTACAAAATAAAATCCTTAAATTATCTATCAAAATAATTATTCAAAAATATTCTTTTTCCAAATCAATTCTTTTAAAATTGTTTCTTATTATATTAATTACTAGTCTTAAAATCATAAACTTATTTATTTAAAATAAATCTTTTTTACAAACTAATTTCTTTTTAAATTATAACACATCTAAAATAATTATTTTCTCAAAATAATTTCTTTTAAATTATTTATTATTTTAATAACATAAAATAATTCCTTTTCAAGATAATTCCTTTTTCAAAATAATTTATTTATTCCTCGTTAAATCATTCAAAAATAATTTTTGTTTCAAATTAAATTCTTTAAAAATATTTATTATTAAATGATTCTTTTTCTCAAAATAAATTCTTTTAAAAAATTATAAACTCACCTAAAATGATTTCGTTATCAAAATAAATTCTTTTAATTTATCATAATAATTCCGAAATACTATTTATCACAGAACTATGATTTAAATCAATATTATTATTCAAACAACCCACGCAAATAATTATATTACAACTAATCCACACATATAATTAATAATTATTGAAATAACAAGGAGAGGCGGGATCTTTCCTCTGGTACATCGTCAACAGCAACGGGGTCATCGGGGTGGTTGCACGGCGTTACGACGGGTTTCGCGGAAACAATGGCTAAAATTATAACTTAGAGTGTTATTGCGACGTGCGATATTCAAACGAATATAACAAGGTGTAGATAAGGAGCCCAAGTGAAAGGAATAGACAACATGAAGGGCTATGCACCGGCGAAGGAATCAACGGAAATGGAGGTCGGAGATGGCCGGAAAACGCGCGCGAAGTCGGCTCTGAACTGCAGTTTTCTGCAATGAACAGATCGCTGTTCGGCTCGTTGTTCAGAGCTGCTAGGAAGGCGCTGCTCAAGTGAAAGGAATAGACAACATGAAGGGCTATGCACC